GGTAAGGATAAAAAAAAAAAAAGTTAAAAAGACTAATCTATCCAGCAAGGCTTTCATTCAAAATAGAAGGTCAAATAAAGAGCTTTCCAGACAAAAAAAAAAAAAGGCTACAGGAATACATTAGCACCAAACCAGTACTGCAAGAAATGTTAAAAGGACTGCTGTAATTAGTAGAAGAAATAGGAAGAAAAATATAACCACATTAAACAAAAATGGCAATAAATAAGTCCATATCAATAATCACCTTAAATGTAAATGCACTGAATGCTCTAATAAAAAGACACAGAGTAGCTGATTGGATAAGAAAGCATGACTCCTCTATATGTTGTTTACAAGAGACCTACCTCACAACAAAAGACTCACATAGGTTGAAAGTGAAGGGATGGAAAAAAATCCTCCAAGCAAACAGAAAGGAAAAAAAAGCTGGGGTAGCAATACTCATATCTGATAAAATAGATTTCAAAATGAAGGCCATAATTAGAGACAAACAATGCCACTACATAATATTGAAAGGATCTATCCAACAGGAAAATATAACCTTGATAAACATATATGAACCCAATATAGGAGCACCAAAATATATTAAAAATCTTCTGGAGGACTTCAAAGGAGAAATGAACAGCAATACAATCATAGCAGAGGACTTCAACACCCTGCTGACATCACTGGATAGATCCTCTAGACAAAAAAATTAGCAAGGAAACAGAGACTCTAAATGAAGCACTAGACCAAATGAATTTAATAGATATCTACAGAGAATTACATGCCAAAACTACAGAATTCACATCTTCTCAAGGGCACATGGGACATTCTCAAAGATGGACCGCATGTTAGAACACAAACTAAATCTCTATAAGTTCAAGAAGATTGAAATCATATCAAGCATCTTCTCAGATCACAATGGCATGACTAGAAAGCAATTGCAACAAGAACATGCAAAGACATTTGAACACATGGAGGCTAAATAGCATGTTATTAAACAATGAATGGGTTACTGGGGAGATCAAGGAAGAAATTAAAAACTTCCTGGAAACCAATGAAAATGAACACACAACAACATAACATCTATGGGATGCACCAAAAGCAGTTCTGAGAGGGAAGTTCATAGCACTACAGGCCTACCTCAAGAAACAAGAAAAATCTCTAATAGACTATCTAACCTCACAACTTAAAGAACTAGAGAGCAAACAAAAAGAAAACCTCAGAGCAAGTAGAAGGAATGAAACAGTAAAGATCAGAGCAGAAATAAATGACATGAAGACCCAAACAACAATTCAAAGAATCAATGAAACAAAGAGGTGGTTTTTTGAAAAGATAAACAAGATTGATGGACCCTTAGCTAGACTCACCAAGAAACAAAGAGAGAGAACCCAAATACACAAAATCAGAAATGAAAGACGAGAAGTAAGAGCTGACACCACAGAAATACAAAAGATCGTTAACAACTACTATGAACAATTATATGGCAACAAATTCGACAATCTAAGTGAAATGGACAAATTTTAAAAACACAGTCTCCCAAAACTGGACCGGGAAGAGATAGAAAACTTGAACAGACCAATAACAACTACGGAAATTGAAGTGGCAATCAAGACACTCCCAGCAAACAAATGCCCAGGCCCAATGGCTTCATGGGGGAGTTTTACCGAACATTCAAAAAAGAACTAACACCCATTCTCCTCCAACTATTTCAAAAAATTCAAGAAGAAGGAAGACTTCCAAACTTGTTTTATGAGGCCAGCATAATTCTAATTCCAAAACAAGAAAAAGACACTACAAAGAAAGAAAACTACAGGCTACTATCCCTGATAAACATAGATGCCAAAATCCTGAACAAAATACTAGCAAATTGGATCTAACAATACATCAAAAAAAATTATTCACCATGATGAAGTGGGATTCATCCCAGGGATGCAAAGCTGGTACAATATTTGCAAATCAATAAATGTGATACACCACATAAATAAAATGAAGAATAAAAACTACATGATCATATCAATAGATGCCGAAAAAGCATTCAACAAAATTCAGCATCCATTTCTGATAAAAAAACACTCCGCAATGTGGGAATAGAGGGATCATATCTTGACATAATAAAGGCCATATATGAAAGACATACAGCCAACATCATACTCAATGGGCAAAAACTAAAAGCATTTCCCTTAAGAACAGGAACAAGACCGGGATGCACACTTTCACTACTCTTATTTAACATAGTACTGGAAGTCTTAGCCACAGCAATCAGACATGAAGAAAAAATAAAAGGGATCCAAATTCGAAAGGAGGAAGTGAAAATGTCATTATTTGCAGATGACATGATATTATACATAGAAAACCCTTAAGATTCCATCAAAAATCTACTAGATTTAATAAATTAATTTGGCAAAGTAGCAGGATACAAAATTAACATCAAGAAATTGACAGCATTCTTACACACCAATGATGAACTCACAGAAAGAGAAACTGAGAAAACAATCCCATTTGCCATCATGGCAAAAAAATTAAGATACCTAGGAATAAACTTAACCAAAGAAGTAAAGGACCTATTTGCAGAAAACTACAGGACATTGAAAAAAGAAATAGAGGAAGATATAAAAAAGTGAAAGCACATACCTTGTTCATGGATTGGAAGAATTAACATCATTAAAATGTCCATATTACCCAAATCAATCTATAGATTCAATGCAATCCCCATCAAAATACCAATGACATATTTCACAGAACTAGAACAAATACTTCAAAAGTTCATATGGAACCAAAAAGGACCCGGAATAGCCACAGCAATCTTGAAAACGAAGGACAAAGTAGGTGGGATCACAATACCAGATATTAGGTTATACTACAAAGCTAATGTAATCAAAACAGCCTGGTACTGGCACAAGAACAGGCATATAGACCAGTGGAACAGAACAGAGAACCAGAAATCGACCCAAGACATTATGCTTAATTAATATTTGACACAGGAGGCAGGAGTATACAATGGAGTAAAGACAGCCTCTTTAATAAATGGTGTTGGGAAAATTGGACAGCTACATGCAAAAAAATGAAACTAGACCATCAACTTACACCCTACACAAGAATAAACTCAAAATGGATAAAAGACTTAAATGTGATTTGTGAATCCATAAAAATCCTAAAAGAAAATGTAGGCAACAAAATTTCAGACATCATATGCAGCAGAATTTTCACTGATACATCACCTAAGGCAACAGAAACAAAGGAAAAAATGAACACATTGGACTACATCAAATTAAAAAGCTTCTGCACAGCAAAAGAAACAACCATCAAAATGGAAAGGCAACCCACTGTATGGGAGAGTATCATTGCCAATGATACGTCAGATAAGGGGTTAATTTCCAAAATATATAGAATACTCATACAACTCAACAAAAGGAAGACAAAGAACCCGATTAAAAAATGGGAAGAGGAGATGAATAGACACCTCTCCAAATAGGACATACAAATGGCCAAGAGACATATGAAGAAATGCTCAACATCACTAATCATCAGAGAGATGCAAATTAAAACAACATTGAGCTATCACCTCACTCCTGTCAGAACGGCTGCCATCAACAAATCATCAAATAAGTATTGGTGAGGGTGTGGAGAAAAGGGGTCCCTAGTACACTGCTGGTGGGAACGCAGACTGGTGCAGCCACTGTGGAAAACAATATGGTGTTACCTCAAAAAATTAAAAATTGAACTTCCATTTGACCCAGTGATCCCACTTCTAGGAATATACCCTAAGAAGCCTGAAACACCAATCAGAAAGAATATATATACCCCCATGTTCATAGCAGCACTATTTACAATAGCTAAGATCTGGAAACAGCCCAAGTGTCCATCAGTAGACGAATTAATAACAAAGCCTTGGTACATATACACAATGAAGTACTGTGCAGCTGTAAGAAAGAAAGATCTCTTCTCCTTTGAGACGACATGGAGGGACCTGAAAAGTATTATCCTAAGTGAAATAAGCCAAGCAGAAAAAAGACCAATACCACATGATCTCATTTATTTGTGAAATATAATGAACATAACAGTCTGAGGAATAAGGTAGACCCAGAGACGTGGAAGTAGGGTACAGACTGACAACCCTCAGAAGATGGGGTGGTGGGGGGAGGAAAGAGATAAACCACAGAACTTATATGCATGAACGCCTAACCAACGGACTTGGACAACAAAGCCAGGGATGGGGTGGGAGGGATGGGGAGGTGGGTGTCAATGGGGTAAAAAAAAAAGAAACATCTGTAACCAAAATAAAATTTAAAAGAAAGAAAGAAAGAAAGAAAGAAAGAAAGAAAGAAAGAAAGAAAGAAAGAAAGAAAGAAAGAAAGAAAGAAAGAAAGAAAGGAGACATAAATAATAAAAGGCTTATATGTCTCATGTAACAGAAAGTCCTGTGCACACCTGCTCTTTCCTTCCTTCCTCTCTGCCAGAGTGCAAAGACTTTCATCTTCGAATTTTGTAGCCTCCGAGTTGCATGCTGCTTGCTGCACCTCTAGGCAACACATCAATATTCCAGGCAGGAAGGGGCAAAAAAGGCCAAAGGAAGCCAGAAAATGGGGTCTGCCCCTCTATAAAAGCTTTTCTGGAAGTGTCACCCAGTGACTTCCACTGCATTTATCAGCCGGACTGATTGGTACTAGAGGGTCTGAGTCACTCGACTGATTTTTCCACGTTTCTACAAGTAACTGATCTACCACTGTTATTTGGGATATGTGAAATTTTGTTCCCCAAGTAATTTTTTGTTGTTGTTAATCCTCACCTGAGAATATTTTTTCCACTGATTTTTAGAGAGAGTAGAAGGGAGGGAGAGGAAGACGGTGAAGAGAGAAAGGGGAAAACATCGACCTGAGAGAGACACATCAATTAGTTGCCTCCCACAGGTGCCCCAACTGGGCCAGGTATCGAATCTGCAACCCTCCCTGGACCTGGAATTAAATCCTTGATCCTTTGGTGCATGGGCGATGTTCTAACTGCTGAGCCAAACCAGCCAGGGTCCCAAGTAATTTTGTTTAAAATGTTCTATTGAAGATTGTAGTGGCTATGCTTATGGGATAGATTAAAATTGCCATGATCTGAAGAGGGAGGGTTTATTTGTGTCCTCCTCCTATATGAAATGGCTGAACAGAAAGAAAAAAAAATGTTCTATTGAGCTTTAGCGGTATAGATATCATTTAATATAAATATTTGCCCCAAAAGTATTGTTATTGAGAGACTCTATTCGCTCTCAGGTTTGGGTATTATAAACTAACAGTCACTCTACTGGGAAAATGTTAACCAGGGAAACGTCCTGTAGGCTATGCCTGAATACTGTGGCGGCTTCTTACACACAGCTCTACCTCATTTCTGGCAACAGTTACACAGTAATTGTGCCCTTTTGTGTGCTGTAATTGATGTAAACTGTCCTCTATTGTTGGACAGTTAGAATGTTCCCAGTTTTTCACAATTATAAACAAAGCTGCATTGAACATCTCTGTACAAACATCTTTACCCACTTGTCCAATTACTTCTTTGAGATGACTTAAATCCATGAAATGAAATTGCGGGACTGACAGTTCCACAAAATTAAAATTTTGATACCTATTGCCAAGTTGCCCTCCAGAAAGGTTGTAGCAGCTCCACTACTTCTCCATTGCTGGAGCAATGAACATGCATCACAGCGGCGTGCTGGCCCACCTAGATGGAGGGGAGGATGGATGGCTCTGTTAACTCAGCCTTTGGAAGCAGAGAGCTTCGTAATTCAGGTGCCAATTACATTTGGAAATGAGATTAGCACATGGAATCTTCCCATTCATCTCTCGGAGAGTTCCATGGCTCCTGGGCAGATGAAACAATAAAACAAAACCAGTGAAATGAAGTCAATGTGGACTCAGGACATTTACCCTGACAAATGTGTCCATTTAGAACAGACTTTCTGGGCAGCTTGTTTAGCTCTGACTCCAATGAGCATCAACACCACACTCAGCCCCCAGTTTTTCCCCATCAGAGACCCTTCCTCCCTACAACATACATGTTGATCCCATCAGCCCCTTTCTTAAAAGTATATCATGGTGCCCTGCCCCAAGCAAGTCCTTGAGAATGATGCCCAGTGTCCTAACAGAACAATTACTGTTGTTCTCTACATAATAATAATTACAGCATCAGCAATAATATAAAAGTTAGCATTTACTTAATGGGGATTTTAATGGGTACAGAGTTTCAGCTTGGAGTGATGAGAAAGCTCTGAAGATGGATAGCGGTGATGGTCACACAACAATGTGAATGTTGTTAATGCATCTGAATTGGACACTCAGGGATGGTTATGATAAATCTTACGTGTATTTCACCATGACGAAAAACATGTAGAAAATAAGAAATCACTGACTTCTGGATTCCAGTTCAACCTGGAAGTTGTCACTCTGTCCTAACAAGCAAGGAGCTGAGTAAACGGAAAAATCAACTCTTCTTAAATGTGTAAGACGGAGGTCGTGGGGCAAACTGCTGCCCCCAAAATTAGAGGGACTGAGGTGGGTCCAGAGAATCACAACTCACTAGGCAGAGCCGGCCGCAGGAGCCGGCGCCAGGGTAGGAGAGCCGGGGCTGTAACTGGTGATCTCCTGGAGGCTCGGTGTGAATAAGACTGAGAGACAAAACTCTGGGGGGATCTGGACATCGCGAGTCCCCACACTTTTGTGAGTTTCGCCTCCAGGAGGTTGACCAGTTCTCACAGTGAATATTGGTATTTCAATGAATATGGGAGAAACTCTTTTCATGCCTCTGGTAGGGGCGGAGGAAATACACCATATATTGAAATACACCAAAGGACTCTGCTCTTAATAAGGTCTGCCCTCAGGAGCAACTATTTTACCTATTGGGGTTTTATCAGAGCCAAACTGACCTCACTAGTCATGCCGACCCATCTAAGGGAGGGAGAAACTCAGAAGCGCTTGTGAAGTCCACGGCCCAGAGACACAGGATCACTAAAAGACGGAGACTTAATCAAAGGACAGAATGCTTCCCCTCCCCCTACACCTTACCACTGCACCAGCAAAGGCCTGTTTACTGGAGTTCCTTTTACACAGTATGGCTTTCGACAAAAGAAAATTACAAGGCATACTGAAAGGCAAAACACAGTTTGAAGAGACAGAGAAAACATCGAAACCAAACTCTGATATAGCAGGGATGTTGGAATTATCAGACTGGAAATTTAAAATAACTGTGATTAATGCTCTAAGGGCTCTGATGGAAAAGGTAGACAATAGGCAGATATTTAATGTAAGCAGAGAGATGTAAATCCTCAAAAATGAAAACAACAAAACAAAACAAAAGAACATTACAGCTTAAAACTCCTTAACAGAAATGAAGTGGTCTTTACCTCCCGTGAAGCCTCATTAAATAAGGAATTCTCCAAAGAAAGCAAAGGGTTTAAAATGCAGGATGGCCCCCAAATAATAATGTCTATTCCACATAGCATGTAGATGAGGGCTGAACCGACTTACACCCCTCACACCCTCCTCCTGACAGATGTTAGCATCCAGTGCTGAATCAGAGAGCCAGCGTGTTGCCTTGACCTTGAATTCCCTTGACCAAGTTCAAGTTCAGGTTCACAGTATCCAGCAGAACCTCATTCAGCAAGCTCAACCCTACCAGGTAACCTAAAAACAGAGGCAAAAGAGTTTTAATAACTGCCCTGTCTTCCCCTTTTTCTTTTTTCAGTCAGCTCACTCTGCCTTCTGCTGAGCTCTGAAGTACAATTCAAAGACCCAAACTGATTTACTCCCAACGACCTACCAGTCCAGCTCCCAGTCCCGTTAACAAGCACTTTATCCTGAGACGGGGCGAGCAGGTGTTACCAGAAAATGATGGCTCGGCTTGCCAGCCAGGCTGCTGGGAGAAGAGAGGCTTTTGCATACAAAGGCAGCAGACACATCCCTCTAAAGGAGATGCAGAGGGTGTGCACAGGTCTGGGGAGGTACCAAGGGGTCACCCAACCCAGGCAGAGGTTGGGGGGGGGGGGGTCAGGGTTTTTCTGGAAAACCCGGTCTTTCAGATGAGTCTGGAAAGAAGATCAGGGATGAACTTTACCCAAACAGAAAGGCGCTCCAGTCAAAGCACCCACGCGTGCAGAGTCCCCAGCTGTGAGAAGGCAAAATACCCTCGGGAAACAAACCCAGGAGAGAGCTGAGAAAGCTCGTCCATCAGTGGCTCGTGACTTCTAGTGCATCTCGGACTCCCCTGGAGGACCTGATGGCTTCCACCCCGGACTCGAGCCCATATGCACGTACACACGGAACCTGGCACCCTCTATCAGGGGTGAGGCATCCCAGGTTAAGAATCCTATACACAGCCAACCTATCATTCACACAGGCCCAAACAGGACCAACGTGGCAGTCATAGCAAAGCATGGCCTCTGGAATATTTCTTTGGTCTCTCTCCTTCAGATTGGAAACTTACCTCGAGTGATTAAAGATCTTTATTTCAAGCTGACTGTGAGCTTTGCCAGCATGGGGTGTGGTTGACGACTGATGTATTTCACTGTAGGGCAACTGACTCCATGAGAAGCCCCAAATGTCATAATTGCAGGTCTTTTCTCTGGGGCTGTTGGGTTTCTTCATAAAAGGAATCTCTGGTCCACTGCTGCGGTGGGGAGAATGTTGCTTAATGAGCCTACATGTAAATATTCAGCTAAGAATGGGCTGGAGTGTCATTAGTTAGGGTGCAGCTTTCCTAGGCCACCCCTGTATCTAGTTCAGCCCCCCACCATACCTGCTCTTTTCCCCCATGCTGGGACTGTGATCACTAAACCCAGACCCTCCCTCTCTGGTTCCAATTCCCTAGAGATTAACCCCTTGGCGTCCTCTGAGGGGAGAAGCTCCTGACTATGAAGTGGAAATTCCCCATGACAAAGACCTCGGTCAGTCCTCTTATTTTGGCACCTGTTTTGCCTCCACCTCCTGAAATACCCGGTTCTGCCCATTCCTGCACCTTCCGGGATTCTGGGGTGAATTGGCTGTCCCTCCATATATGCCCCTCCTGAGGCAGGGTAGTTGGCCTTCCTCCACTCTGCCAAATCGTGTGTCATTCCCCAACCCAGTTCCTGTCTTCATGCACTGCTTCAAGGTACAGATATCTGTGGTTTCATCAAAGATGGAGAGAGAGGGTGCTGCATGTTCTCCTTCTTGTCTGGAGTGGATCTGACGAGAAGAGAACAGGATAGAAACAAAGCTTGGCCATCCTCGAGAGTACTTACCGCTACTGAACCGTACAGTGAAAAGTGGTTGCAATTAAAAACAAAACAAAACTCAGCCAACTTAAAACCAGAAGTCTCCCCACTGAGTTGCCTGTGAATTTTGAAAAACAAACACAACAAGCCATTTCCTTGAAAATCGATTACACGTGGAAAGTGAATATTTTGACTTCTACACAATGTGTTGAGAGAGTTATTGGAAGTATCTAGAGCAGTGGTTCTCACAGCGTGGTCTGCAGACTGGTAGCATCAGCATCACCTGGAAACTTGTTAGAAAACACAAATGCTTGGGTCTTACCCTATACCCACTAAATCAAAAGTTCAGCGATCTGTGTTTGAAGAAGCCCTTCACAACTGAATGTTGAGTATATGCTTTGTGATAGTTGATGCATAAAGTTTGAGAACCGCTCACCTAGAGCAATATGGGGGGAAAGAATGAAATAAAATACAGGCTGAACAGCAAAGGGCAGGTCTAACTTAGTAATGTGGAGAAAAGATCAAGGAAACCATGAAAGAGGGAGAGAAGGTAGTTCATTCATTGAGTACCTACCATGTGGCAGGTACCATGCTTGCCAGTTTACATTTCTCATTTAATGCTGTTTCCTTGAAAAAATAATTTCCCCATTTTACAGATAAGAAAGCTGAGGCTTAGAAAAGGTAACTATCTTAGGTATTTAAAAAGAATTTCAGCCGAGGTCTGCCTGACTCCTAGGTCTTTCTCTTTATTTTCCATACTTCCCTCTTTTAAAATTAGCCGCATCACTGAGGATATCATTAGCTATGGAAGACTGAGAAAAGAAAACAAGGTTTCTCCTCTGCTTGGTAAAATCCTACTCATTCTCCAAAGCAGAACTGAAATGTCACCTTCTCTGGGAAGTCTTCTAGAACTGCCTTGCTCAAAGTTAACC